ATGTCAAATTCGGAGAGTTCCAAGGACCACTTCAGCATCCTGCCCGCCATATCTGGCCGACCCAGGAGTTGCCTCACCGGCTGATCGGTTCGCACGATGATGGTGTGGGCTAGAAAGTAGTGTCTGAGCCTCCTCGCAGCGTTGACGAGGGCCAGAGCGACCTTTTCTATCTGCTGATATCTGCTTTCGGGCCCTTGTAAGGCTTTGCTCGTGAAGTAGACAGGTTTCTGCCCGTCGGGGGTCTCGCGGACAAGGGCTGCGCTGATGGCTTCATTCGAAACGGCCAAGTATAAGTACAGCGGTTCCCCGTCGTCTGGTCGAGACAGCACGGGCGGCTGAGACAGGCTCTGCTTCAGATGGCGAAGTGCGTGCTCGCATTCCTCGTTCCATTCGAAAGCTGCTTCCTTTCGAAGGAGTTTGAAGAAGGGGAGGGCGTGCTGAGCGGACTTCGCGACGAAGCGGGATAGTGACGTAAGCATGCCGTTCATGATTTGTATCGACTTCTTCGACGTCGGCGTTGGGAGGTCGGAGAATGCCCGGCATTTGTCGGGGTTGGCTTCAATCCCTCGTTCTGTTAGATAGAATCCAAGGAATTTTCCTGCCTTAACCCCGAACGTGCATTTCTCGGGGTTGAACCTCATTTTGCACTGTCTTGCTTGGGCGAAAACTGTCCTGAGATGAGCTGCGTGATCGGTGTCTGCTCGGGATTTGACGATCATGTCGTCCATATATACCTCGAGCATGTCGCCGATCTGTTTGTTGAAAACTCTGTTCATCATACGTTGGTAAGTTGCTCCGGCGTTTTTCAGTCCGAAGGGCATTACGTTGTAGTAATAGTTGCCCGAGCTGGTCATGAATGTCGTGCAGTGTTTGTCGCCCAGAGCCATTGGGATTTGGTTATATCCCGAGTAGGTGTCCATGAACGACAAAGTTTTGTAGCCGACCGAGTTGTCGACCAGCATGTCTATGTTAGGTAAGGGGAAAGCATCTTTCGGGCAAGCCCGGTTGAGATCGGTATAATCAACGCATATTCTCCATTTTCCATTATTCTTTTTCACAAGTACAACATTTGACAGCCAGGTGGAATACCGGGCTTCAGAAATAAAATTTGCCTCTAGGAGGTCTTTTACAGCTTTTTCAGCAGCCTCCGTTTTTTCTGGAGACTGCCTACGCCTACGTTGTACTACGGCCTTGGCGGCTGGATCAATGGCGAGGTGGTGACAGGCGACCTCAGGGTCGAGTCCGGGCATCTCCGCAGTGCTCCAGGCGAAGAGATCAGCATTCTCGCGCAGACAGGCCTTGATTTGCTTTCTGGCCAAGTCGGGGAGGTCCTTACCAATCTTTACTCCCTTGGTCGGGTCTGCGCCGAGGGGAACGAGTTCAAAATCTCCGTCCGGGATTGGTCGGAGTGGGATTTGCTCGCTGCTGGATGGCTCGTCCTGATCGAAGCGGGCGTCGAGGGCTATGGAGTCGACCTTTGGTGGAGCCTTCTGGACTTCTTCCTCGGGGGATGCTTTCCTGTCGGGCTCCTGTTTTGTCTTTTTGGCGGGTCTGGTCCCTATGTCGACGGTATCCCGTCCCTTTGAAGCAGCGTTGAAGCACCTGCGGGCAGCGGCCAGGTCTCCTTGGATGGTGGCTACCCGTGCCCTTTTGGTGTAGAACTTCATTTTCAAATGGACAGTCGAGGGCATCGCTGTCAGCTCTGCCAGTGTCGGTCTCCCCAAGATGCAATTGTATAGAGACGGGCAGTCAATAACGAGGAATCAGACCTTAACTTGTCTCGTAGCCGTTCCTTCGCCGAATGTGACAAGGAGCTCGACATAACCCCAAGGTTTGGAAGTCGAACCGTTGAAGCCTTGTAGATCCGACCCCACATACGGAGAGAGATGCGAGTCGTCCAGTTGTAAGGTTCGGAACAGCTGGCTGTACATAACATCGACGGAACTCCCTTCGTCGACCAGGATGCGATGCACGTCAAAATTGGCCATTTTTGCCCTTATCAGTAAGGGGATGACCGCGTTCGGGGCTCCGCCGGGGAGTTCTTATAGGTAGAAGGTGATGGGCTCTGACCTGCCCTTCACCCTTTCGAATGTTACAGTTTGCGGGGGAGCTATGTCGACCAGCTCGTCCAACTTCCTCTTAGCTGAATTGATGGTGAGGTCGTTGAACCCGCCCCCGTTGATGACCATGGCGGAAGGAAAGTATTCCCACCTGCTGTGCGTTGTCAGTGGCTTCTGCAGGAGCTCGGGAATGTCGAAATCCTCAGACCTGGTTACCGAGAAGGCGGTCTGGATAGGCACTGACTCGTCTGATGGTCGGGCGTCTTCTTCGGGCTCCTTGGTTTCATGGGCGTCACGACGGGGAGCGTCGCTTCGCCTGTACTGTGCGAGCCTCCCTCCCTTGATGAGGGTTTCAATGGCGTCCTTGAGGTGGACGCAGTCCTCTGTCAAATGACCATGACTCCTATGGTATTGACAGTATTTATTTTTATCCGCCCCTGGCTTGGCGGGAGTAGGTCGGGGACGCTTGATGCCACCGTCTCTGAAATCCGTACTGGCACACTCTGCCAAAATACGCTCGCGGGAAGCTGTGAGCGGAGTGTACTCGGTGAAACGGCCCGAGGGGCCCCTTTGTTCCCGGACTTCCCGGGGTCGATCTTCTTTCCTTTTCTCCCCGGTACGTCGGGGAGGAGCCTCTTGTCGTGAGCTGCTGCTGTTGTTGGGACCTCGAGCCCTAAAGTCTCGGGCCCTGTTGGCAGCTTCCCTCTCCTCGTAGTCCATGTATGCTCGGGCCTTGTCGAGGAGGGCATCAAAAGTTGGAGGTGGCTCAATACCCACAACCTTTCTGAATTCTGTGCCGGGGAGGAGACCCCTCTCCAGCAAGTATCTTTTCATGTGGTCCGCGCAGGGGACCTGTATTGCTTCTCGGTTGAAGCGGTTGATGAACTCCCTCAAGGTTTCATCCTGTCTTTGGATGATGGCCTCGAGGGCCGCCTCGGTCTTCGGATGGCGTCGAGAAGCTGTGAAGGAACTGATGAACTGGTTCTTCAGGTTCCGCCACGACGTGATTGAGCCCGGGGCGAGTCCTTTATACCAGTCCATGGCCGCCTTCCTGAGAGTCGTGGGGAAAAGACGGCACTTGATGGGCCCCCCGACATTATGATAGTGGAGCATGGCTTTGAACCCGTCAATGTGGTCGACCGGGTCCGCTACTCCGTCATACTCCTTCAGATGCGGGGGCTTCTCCATGCCCGGGGGGATGGGTGCATCCATGATGGCCTGCGACAGGGGACCGCGGGGGTCGTCCTCGTCGCTCCTCTCCGGAGAAAGAGATGGGGACCTGTAGTTTTGTCTGGCACGGTGGTCGTGCTGAGTTTCCCTCGAGTGTGATGCTCGGTGGTTGAATGTCACGCGCCCGTCCCCGGCGTGCCTCTTGTCGTGCCTTGATGGGTCGCGACTGGGTTCTCCGACAGGGATGGCGGACTGTCTCTCATAGTAGGGCCGCCTCTGCTTTGGCCGGGGAGAGGGGCTCCTGGAGTTCTCCCTGTAGTGTCTCCGCGGGGGAGAAGGGTGTCGAACTTCTGTGACCCGAGGAGGTGGAGAATGTGGCCTTCGATGCCTCCTCGGGGGTCGTCGGTCATCTTCAAGTGCCCTTAGTCTTTCTCCTTGGGCGAAGATGAGATAGTTTGTCTGATTGATGGCCGCGAACAGTGCCTGAGTAGTGGCATCTGCCCCGGCGGGGACTGGGACTTCATGGAATCGGGCAGCTCTGTAATGAGCGAGAGCTACCGGGTCGTCCTCGAGTGGTGGCGGGAGCGGGGAGGACGATGAGGTGGCTCCATCCCTGTGCGAGGAAGTTCCGAGGACGGTGGTTGCAGGAGCGGTGTTGACGGGATTGACGACGTTGTCGAGATGCCCGTTTTTGTCCGTCGTGCCGTTATTGGTGTCGGTGATACGGACGTTCTGCTCGTCGCGAGCTAGATCAGCCATGACAGGTAGTTGAATTGAGCTTTTGGTCTTTTGAGTTGTTTGTTAGACGGGGAAGCTAGTTTCCCACAGACGGCGCCACTGATCTGACCTGATCAGAAATGGACCGTCACGGCTGACTCCGAGCAGAAAGCTTTTTGAACGAAGTGGGGGGGTACCTGCAAGGCACTCCGATGCTGAAGTAAGTAGGAGTACGAGCAGATAATAGCGAGTGTAAGGTTAGAATGATGAATACCTGACCCTCTGGAAGCAGAGGGTATTTATAGCCTCCAGCGCTGGGCCAAGGTTCCTTCATTGGGTCGGGCATGTTTGACCCAATGGAGGAACTGCCAGGTTCTACGTGGGTAGTGGGGACCCGCACGTGGTCCCCTTCCTGGATGTTCTGCGTGAAGTGCGGGCGGACGGAGACGCGGTCTTTTCGGGGTATCGTTGGGGGAACAGTGGACTGAGTCTGCCCTAGCTGGGGTGCTCGAGGTAATGTCGAGCTGGACCTCAGGGTGTGGTGCTGGACCGCAGCATGTCGAGCTGGAGGTGTACTGTCGAGCCTGCGACTACCCGTCGGGCACGGTCGTACTCTTTGGTCAGCGTGGCCCTTGTAAGTCCATTTGGACTGGGCCTTTGCAATGCTTTTGGGTCTGTCGGGCCCAGTCCAGAACAGATTGTCTGATGAATTAGTTAAACCATCTTTAGTCGACCTAGTTAGTATGTCAAAACCATGTTTAAGACTCTTGACACTTAACATTTTCAAATGTGGCTCTTACTACTCTTTGTTGCATTCTTCATGTTGAAATTTCCGATTAACAGCTGCAAAACATCTTAAAGAGAGCGACCTAGTCCAAGACTCTATCCGATAATTTCTTCAATAAACGACAAAAACAACAGTAAACCAATAGTGTGTTATTTTCCATCTAAATCATGAATAGAGTCTCTCTAAGACTAGATTTTGTATTTTTACAATGGGGAAAGCAACAGAACCAATACATTAGCATAAAACACAATAATTTATTTTTGGAACTAACTATCTACATTGTTTTGATCCATGCTCAAAGCTGGTGTGGGTTTATCATTTTCATAGTCAGAATCAGAGCTACCAGTATCCATTTCCTTCCCTGAACAATCAATTTGGTCACATTCAACAACTTCATTGTTGCAATTTCCAAAATCATGACACCTATTTGAAGGTGCTAAGGCTTCTTTCTTGACAACATTTAACACAATCCCATTATGAATCTTTTCAGTCTGCAAAATATCACCTTCGGTTATCAGTAAGCTAGATCCGTTAACAACCCTGTTGTCGATTACCTTCTGCTCGGATTCCGAGTTCCTATCTGGTCCTGTGAGTCTGAAATTATGATACTGAAAATCAAGAGGACTGGAATGAGCCACCGTGCCTCTATTTAGTTCAGTATCAACAACACCCTCTAAGTTTTGGAGAAAGTCAACAAACATATTTGCCGAAGCGGTTCTCATCAAAGGGCCACCAGATCTGGTCCAAGAAATCGAATCAATATTTTCAGAGTCACTACCAATGCCTTGATGCAACGAGGAAGCAACATCTGTAAGGTCTTCAAGAGAACCTGTCGAATTCTCCCGTGCCATGCAATTCCATGAAGGAATTCTTCTTGAACCACTGAATCTGACAGTACTTGACAAACCATGAGACGCTGAAGCAGAAGTTCTCTCGGCAATTCTTTTTAGTTTTCTCATGTGATTGAGAATTGCCACAGATTCATCAAGAGCAAGCTCAATTTCACAATTTGCTTTTATGGCTGAAAGCTTCTCCCAGCTACATCTTCTCCCTTGGTTGGCTGCTTTTTGAAGCTCTCCGTAAGAAGGGTTCTGTATAATTTTTGAGTACTGAAACAAAAGACAGGACAAAATTTACACAAGTTAATCACTTCTACGCTGAATTATCTTTAGTAACTAACGTAAATAAATTCCTACACCTTTCGTGAAAATGCATGGTTATAGAGAACATTGATCATTCAACAGAGTTTTTTGTTCAAAGAATCAATTAAATCTCTTCAAATTAATATCTTGCAGAGTTTTTTTTATTAATTAAAAACTTGAAATAAATATGTAGCTGATACTTAAATAAGGCACATACCTGAGCAAGGGTAGCGGGCATGACAATAGTGACATCACCTTCCCATTCTTGAGCAAAAAGTTTGGCAAGTCCACCTAACGGAAAGCCAAGTTCCAGTACTTGATTACACCTGTGTTTCACCTCCATCACCACAAGATGAGCAAGCTGCACAATTAATTAAGAACCATATTAGACTGAACTTTTTCATGATTAGAAGTCATATAGGTTAATAACACAATGAATATCATTGTTAATATGCGTGATTTGACAACTATCCATGGATTTTTTAAGAGCCTCACATTGAATGAGATGATGCTTGAAAAAGTGTATAAACGACAACAGTTCTTATCTTACAAGTTGGTTTTGTAAAGGTGGAGTTAGGCCCAACCTAAACACTTTGATAGTATCAGAACCTATCTAAGATTTGTTTAGCCACCTGCAAATCAGTCACTAATATCTGGCCACTTTGGTCACGCTCCAGATGTTCTATCTTGGGTGTGAGGGGTGTATGTCAAGAGTCCCCCATAAAATGAGATAGGTCGGAAAATGAGTTTAGAAATGGGACAAATCCTCACCTTACAAACCGATTTTGTAAGAGTTTAGTTAAGTCCAACTGAAATTCCAAGAAATAGCATAGCACCATTTTTTCAATTATACAGGTCCAATGGGAAAACATAAATAAACAACCAATTACATGGCACAATTTAAATTAATTATCATCTGCTATTATTTTGAATGAAAGTCGGCAATGCTTTATCATGTAATAAATGATAACCAATTATATAAAAAGCAGAAATGTAAATATGAATGTGCTATGCATTTTCTTTGCAGAGGTTCAAGTCAATGAATATAAGTATGTTACCTTGGCAGCAAAATTGCCTCCATAAGTTCTTACAACCTCTTTCAATCTCAACAATGGTGCAATGTGTGGGTTGGCTTGACTGACTATGAAATGATTGACATTGAATAGCTCTTTCAACTGCATCATAGGTAAATCAATCTCTAAGCTACCATCCCTCCACCGGCGTGATGGTGTGGAGCCTTCTTCGGGACCTAGATTAAAAGGAGGATGATAAGGAACAATATCTCCACTCCTATTCTTCGCCATCAATTCTTGAGCTTCAAAAAGGCCAGGAAATGCGCAAGAAGCAGTTACGGCACTCCATATAACAACATGAGGCGATGTCAAGTAGTTAAGACATCTAGGAGGTTCATGCTTCCTTGGGGAGCAAACCGTAATTCCAAGAACTCTACCTGTCATATCATACGCTTCTTGAAATGTAAGGTTGTTTGTTAAATGCCTCAACAGCATTTGCAACTGCCTAATCTCATGAACAGCCCCGCGCGTTGCAACCCTCTTGACAACCGCGAAAATCCCACCCATTTGATCGAAAAACTGCAGCGAATGCAACGAATCCTCGAAAAAACTCTGAAGCTCCGGCCACGATCTAGTAGCAGCAATAGCACACATAATCGATCCAACACTCGAACCAGCAACAATCCTAGGTAAGAGTTTATGTTTCACCAATGTCTTAACCACCCCAACATGAAAAGCTCCAAGAGAAGCACCACCACTTAACAACAAAGCCGTCCTCCCAAAAGCATGTCTAGTTTCATGCATAAAAGCAACCTTTTCCTCCAACGACAACTCCTCCGAATCCGAATCACAAACCATTCTCAACTGCGTAGTCACCTCATCAAGATACTCCTTGATCAACCTAGGAACTTGAAGCCTGCCCTTATGCAACTCCGGGTTACACATATTCCCTAAATTCCTAACAAGATCCGCCCGCATACAAAACATAATATCCCTGATCGACCCCTCGTGCCGCCTATGCCGAAGCTCCTGAAGCTTATTCCCAACCAACTCAACATCATAAAGATCAGCCTCATTCATCTTTGGTGTCAATTTATCAAGCATCTTAGCTCCATGAGCCCATTCATCATAAGTCAAAGCACCCCTCATCATATTCCTCCAAAACTTTCTCCTATAAGCCATTTCAGCTCTCACCTTCACATTTGTGTAACGCTTCAACAATATAGCAACTATGGTCATCATTGCTAATATCCCTTGTGGGTTCCTCGGATGGAACCATGACAAAAAGGGTCTCAATTTCAATAACCCTTTAAACCTATACAAGAATTGTAACAGTAGTTGAAAAAACTGATGCATTAAATGGGACATGGATTTGCAGAATAGAACCCTGAAAGCTATTGTTTTGCCAAGAATGTCTGATGGACCAATTGGAAAACGGTCAACCCTAGCTTCATTACTAATATGATCCATTTCAACTTAATAAAAAAGTTTCACACAAATCAAAATACTCAAAGCTAAAAACTATAAAAGATTATGTATAAGAGAAACTGAAATTAAAGTGGAATTTCACAAGATGTGTGTTCAAATTGTAAGTTCAGATGGTTACCAAATTAAACTGAGTTATGACGAAATTGGGAATTGTGAAGATAGATAAAGATAAGAAATTTGATTATATGCTTTTTAAGTTTTACTGGACTAGCGTATTCGGAATACTGAAGTTGTTGATTAAGATCGGACAAACCATATTGTGTGTGAAATCTTGGCCGCTAAATGTTGATCTGCGGTCAAGAATGTACGAACGTGTAAATGTGATAATGTTTGAGTGGGTAGAGAATCGAGGTGCAGAAAGATGCGTTTCTGATATGGTGACTGGGAGCTTAGTCAAAAGGAGACGATGACGAGGATAGAATAGAATAAAAACAAGTTAAAGAACCATATCCATATTTTTATTAGTACAAGGGTAAAAAAGAAAATTCAAATTTATTTTTGTGGTTAGTTAGAGGATTGTGTTGAAGGAAAGATAAGAAGAAACGTGGCAGCCAAAACGTGATAAATATGTATTTGCAAATTGCAACTTGCAAGTAAGTAGTCAGTCTAGCTTAACTTTTTTATAATTTTTTTATACACGTAGGACTGGTTATTTTTACCATTTAAATTCAAAAATATCATTTAAATATATACATTCAGATGTATTATATAAATTTAGAATATTACATTATTTTAGATATGTATATTTAAAAAAATCTCTATTTTTTATTTTCAAAGAAATTTCAGATATATGTGAACTAACTCAATATTTTATAAAAAAAATTATTTTATTTTGAAAAAATATTTATTTATAATATAATTATAATATAATTAAATTAAATTATTATTAATAAAGAATAATTTAAATTTATAATTGAAAACTAAATATTAAAGTAAATTATAAATTAAAAACTAAATATTAAAGTAAATTTATAATATGAAATTAAACAATTAATAAAATAATTAAAATTTTAATTATAATAGTGAAATATAACAATTGATATATTTTATAACAAAATAATATGTAATTAAATAATTTCGGTGTTTTACACCTTGCGTTTCTGCGTCTCTGGCATTTACGCGATTTAATGTAGAAAACTCAATTTTCTGAAAAATCGACTATGAATTAACCGTGTCAATTCATTCGAAAAAAATCAAGGATTAAAATCCCTTATTTTGTTCCGAAATAGGGGACCTCACCCTAAAAACTCTAAATTTCTTGTTTTTCTATTTTATTTGATTTACTTTCCATTTTCATATTTTCAAAAAAATACGAAAAGATTTATAAACACTTAATTTAATTGTATTTGATTTTTAGTTGTATTTTTAAATTTTTATAACAAAGTAAAATTCAGAAATGTATATCTGAAACTGTTGTACCCCAAAATTTGCCCTCTCAATTCTCAAAATATTTTTCACAAGATCTTCAATAGCTCAAGCTTGTACAAATGTGGACTAGGTCAAGCCATCTCCTCAATATTGATGCCTCAAATTAGGGTCTGAATTTTCACGAGGACAATTGGACTTCTAATGCTTCAAATGAATTTCATGGATCATTTCAGACCTTCAAGAATACTCATGTCAAGTTTCAATTCTTGCATCACAAAGTTGCTTAGTCAATTGATCAGATGACCTAAAATCATTTGTATTGGGTAAAAAAAGCCAAGTATGGTCAACTTACAGCCAAACTTCAAGATTTTTGACCAATATCAACATTTTGAAGTCATATGCATCAATTGATCAAGTTTAGATCACAATTCCTCAAGAAAAAATGTTCAAATCATCAAAATGGTCAAAATTAGGGTTTTTGACTAAGAATGACTGATTCTTGACTTTTGACTTAATACGTGACTTATTGGTTTGAAAGATGATATCAAGGATGCAAGGACATCATTTTGACCTAATTTCATGGCTCAAAACATTTCTCAAGATCATTGGATTGATAAATGAAATTTAGTCAACTAATACACCAAAAGTTAAATTTTGACTTTTTTTTATCAATATTAAGTTTCAAAGATCAAAATTCATCAATACATTCAAGAATATCAAGCTTGGTCATCAAGAAGTAAAAAAAAATCAAAATTCAATTTGAAAAGTCAAACTTTCCAAGACTTCAAAATTTTTCTAAGTGTTTTATACATGTTTATTTCATAACTTCATACCAATTTTTCACCATGATGCAAAATGATTCAAAGAAAACTTTCAACATGGAAGTTGTAGATCTTGATGAATTCTACAACTTTATATTAGAGGGTTGATGTCCAAAAAACGCTTAAATTTGAAGATATAAGCCCGTGAGGTCATGACATTTTCATCTAACACTTGGATAAATTTTCAACTGATTTTGGTCAGAATTTATCCCAACTTCTTGGCATTTTTTCACATAGTTCCAAGATGATTTTGTCAAAATGGTCAACATGAAAGTTATAGAGGATGTTTCAAGCTTTCCAAAACATCCAAGAGTATGAATTTATCATGCTTGAGCTAGGAGATTCAAGGGCATGAAGTTGGGCATCCATCCTTGAATTACAAGTCTTTTTGGTGAAGAACACATGATCCAATCTATATGCTATGCTGCATAATCTTATGTTGAAGGCCTTCTTGCTTGTAAATCTCTCCATAATTTAATGTTTACACAAAAGCTTAAACCATTACCCAAGAGATACAAGCCATTATCCAAATAACTTGCCATTTAAGGTAAAAAGTTACCATTGTTATTCTTGAAAAGCAAGTTTGTTGGTACAAAATTTGTCATGAGCCCATACCTTGTTTATTTCTGATTTTACTCCACCATAAATCATGGAAAGTATCCCCTCTATACCAGCAACTTTGGTACTTCATCTTGGGACTATAGAGAATTGACATAGTTTGATATTTGCATCCCAACCAAACCATAACATGTTGTCCTGCAAAGCTAATCAAATCTTGTTCCAAAACCTCTTGTCTATAAATAGAGGGAGTATTTGCAAGAGAAAGAGGCCAAATTCTTGTGTATTGAAAAATCCCCAAACCCCCCTTATACTCTAAAAACCATAATTTTCCACAAAAACCTCCATCTTTGAGCTTTGAAGTCCAAATCCTTTGAGTCTCCAAAACCTTGCAAATTTTCCCTAAACAAACCATCCATATACTTCATATACATCATATAGAAGTTGTTCAAACACAAGAACAACTTCTGTGACATCACTACCACCATTGTCCAAACTCAAAAACAGCCACTTGACTTCTCCAAGACAATACAACAACTATAAATCAAAACACAAATTTCAATTTCAAGGTAAGTTTTTTTGACTTTGAACTCTTCATAAAAGAATCATTAGTGGTTCATTTGTGAATATAAAATGTAGATATCATTTCCCTGAAGCTAACCATATGTTTACTTTTTCATTTTCATTAACCATGTGTTGAGAACTTACTCATATATGCAGCAGAAAAATGTTGGAAGTAAAAAACAGCAGTATGAGTCGATGGATAACTCTATGTGTCGACACATATTAGGTACAAAACAGGTTATGAGTCGATACAAAACAAGGATAAGTCGACACATAACAGAAATGAGTCGATACAAACCATTATGTGTCGACTCATACTGAGTTTTTTTGACTTCCAGGAGCAAAGAGATGATATGTATCGATACATAAGCGAATGAGTCGATACAAAACAAAAATGAGTCAATACAAACCATTATGTGTCGACTCATACTGAGTTGATTTTGATTTTCAGGAGTAAAGAAATGATATGTATTGATTCATAATTGCATGTGTCGATACAAAACAGATATGAGCCAATGCATAAGTACATGCGTCAATACATAAAAGTTTTCGTATCAATGCGTAAGTGTATGTGTCAACACATAAAAGTACTTTTAAAAACAATTTTATTTTTTTACATTATCTTTATATTTATTTATATTTTTCTTATTATTCATTATTCAATATGGTTGTAATAGTGATTAGGTTTTAATTGTTTTCATTCCCCATTTGTAAATTTGTATCCCCCATCCCCAAAAAAGATGTAATAGCGTAAAACTTTAAATTTCTGCAATTTATCGCTTTCAATATAATTGCTAGTAATTAGGGTGTGTATGGAAAGACTAAAATCAATCGTTAGAAAACCCTAACCTCAAAGACAAAAATGCATGAAATCAATACACCTTGCACACTTCCACCTCTAAGGTTAACCTCACTTGTTGCCTTGAGAAAAAACGGTCATGTCCCTTGAACATGGGGTACTTTAGCAAAGCCCCTTCAATTACAAGATCGTAGTCCCTCGATGACCCTTCAAATGTTTCCTTCGTTAAACGATCTTAGACCCTTATGAAAAATTGCTAAGATATCCTATAATGTTGCCTTCTATGACTATACGACGAACCACGCATGTCCCTTCACATCCAATGATAGGGCTTCTTATCAATCAATGGTAAGATAGAAATATCTAAAGGAGGAGTAAAAGAACTAAGACTTTTTGAGTAGATAGAATGTTTATAGTTGTTTGCTCACAACCATCTTCAAAACATATTTCAAAACACACTAACACTTTCAAATGAAATATTTTCAAAAGTCAACACTTTGTATGCATCTTATAGAGACGAGAATCATTACAAAATTCGCCTAAGCAAAGGCATTTTCAAAAACACTTTCAAATGAAATATTTTCAAAAGTCAACACTTTGTATGTATTCTTATAGAGACGAGAATCATTACAAAGTTTTCCTAAGAAAAGTCACTTTCAAAACCAATCACAAACACATTTCAAACAAAGCATTTCAAAGTGAGCTAACAACTAAGAGCTCATAGATAACTACGGATGAAAAAGGTGCTAACACCTTCCCTTTTCATAACCTACCCCCCGAACTCAAGAAAATTATCAAAAGGTATTTCCTGTTCTTTTCACCCTTTCTTTTATTGGATAAAAGAAAAGTCGATGGAGACTCTTGCTATCTGC